GATTGTGGGGCTGGCGCGGGATCGGGCAGTGTTTCGTTCTGCTGTGCATGGGGTTGCTACGAGTCAGAAACGACTCGACGGCACTTAACAACAACAACAACAACGGGGGGTGGGAGGAGGCAGGCAGGTAAACCACTAACTAAAGGATAGATATATATTACATTGGATGAAGGGAAAGGTAAATTATAATAATAAGATAGATAGGGCTTGAGAGCTCAAAGTGCTATAGGTGATTTTTGAGCTATCCAGAAATATAATCTTGAGAGTCATTTAAAGAAGAAAGAAAAAGAAATCATCGTTGTTTATCAGGGCATGTAGTAAAAGTAATTGTAACCCAGTCAAAAAGACACCACAGGCTCCATCATGAGTGACCCTCGCCCTTCTTACCTCCTGCAATGGCATGTGGTTTTCTCGGAGTTTAGAATCTAATCTTTCAGAGTTCAGTGTTTCTACATTGCAAGAAAGAAAGCCATAAATTGTCCAAAAGTGAGTCCCAGAAAAAGTTCATTCAGAATTTTCCACACTTTCAGCTGCCTTCCTTTCAAAAAATATAATACTAAAGATGCTCTTCAAGGATTTCCAAGACACTCTAAGTATCTTCAGATAAAGACTCTGGAGGTGTGGGGAAGGTAGGAACAAGAAGGGGGGAGATTGACAGTACTAGATGAAATGCTTCTAGTCTTTTCTGTGCAGCTATTCATTGAGGCATGAGGTCAAACAGAAATTGATGAGACACTGTAAGTGGCCATGCTTCTTCATAACTGGCAGTCATTTATACAACCCCAGAATGAAAGGTTTACCCTAGTTTGAATAACTAGTGGACAAGTAATAAGAGAAGGGTTGATTCTACTAATCTGTTCTCCATCCATGAAGTTGGAAGTATCACTGTAGTATGCCCAACAGACTTTGCTATAGACAAATCAAGGCCTGTGTTGTCAGCCACAAGAAACATACTCTCCCTAGAGTTTTTAAAAGAAGCAGGTAGATGAGAACCATATTATTAGGTGTCACCAAGGATATGGGAGCCCACAGGTTACCATAGGCAGAGTTCTACTTGGTCCTTGAGAACAGATATTAAAAAGTAGTGAGATCTCCTTTTTTGTACTAGGAGCACACCCACTGTGCACTGTGTATGGGGATGGAGGGGGGTACCTTAGGTGCCTCACAGGACTCACAGTCTCTTTCCCCAGGTCACGCTTCACACCGGGCTCCCAGTCCCTGACTTCTACTCCAGCAGAGCATCAATAGCCTAAGGATGTGCTGTGGAGGTGCCAGCTGCCTGTTCTTACCCCTGCCCTAGACCAACAGTGAGGAGCTCAGCCAGCGTGCATGTGGTGGGATGAGGAGAGGGAGAAAGAGAGAAAAGCTGGTCATCTACAGTCTTCACACCCTGCAGCTCTGCCCCCTTCCCTTCCAGCCTCTCCACTATTAGAATGTCTGCATTCACTTCCGCATTCAGCATTTCTGACCAACACACAGGACCTATACAGCCCACTGTGTCACTCCCAAATTTTGTTATTATTTAACTTAGTTTTTTATTTAGGTGACATAATTTGTTTTCTGGTCATCTTATTGGTGACTTACTGAGCTGGCACTGCCCAGAGAAAATTCTCCTGATGACTTTTTTTTATTATGCTTTCTAGCAGATAAAGAAGGAGCTCTGGTGGTGCAGTGCCTAAGGCATTTGACTGCTAACCAGAAGGTTGGTGGTTCAAACCCACCAGCCACTCCGCGGAAGGAAGACTGGCCAGTCTACTTCCATAGAGATTGACTGCCTTGAAAACTCAAAGAGGGTCGCTATGAGTTGGAATCAACTCGATGGCAGTGAATTTAGTTTTAGGTTTAGAGCAGATAAAGAGTTGTGGGGGAGGCAGGGGAGAATGAGCTGACTTCGGAGATTGCCATTTACCTCCCAGAATGTCCTTGTCCTGTTACCTCTCATGCAGAGTTTGCTCTGCATAGCTAATCTATAGGAGCTGGGCACAATTAATCTAGCATTCTGAAGTTTTGCTATCCATTGAAGCACAGAAATATCAGCTATACAAATGTTCATAGAGGGGTAGGATAATTAGGTAGCCTGATAATTGGGACAGGCTTGAAACTATGACCATGGTATGAAACTGGAAAGTCCCTAAACATATGCAGAGCAGAGGACTTAATGATTTGGTTCATTGGTTTGATACATATTACTGAGAACCTACTGTGGGCCAAGCACTGCTCCTGACTCTGGAGACACAGTGGTAAATAAGTCAGACAAGGACCCTGCTCTCCTGGATCTTACATCTTAGTAGAGCAAACCAAAAATCAAATCAAATAATTACCAATACGTAATACGTGCTGCAAAGGAAACAAACAAGGGGCGAAGAGGCTCATTGGCAATGCCCAGAACGACAGTAAAAATTCACACATTCTGGCCATAGGGCAAAGGCATTGCGCCTCTCTAAGTACCAACTCAGTGACTTTTCAACTGTGCTATTTAAATTTTGGCTCATCACGAAGCCCTTCTTTGGTAGTAATGATATCAGCATTCTTATTTAACTCTGCAATGACATTAGCCTTAAAAATAGATGGCAGGTGCTCATTTTTTTTTCTAGTGGAGAAAACTTATTGAGGACATTATCATTAGTGACCAGAGGGAGGAGGACCCATACTCGGTAACAGGGAATCTTAAGGTATAGTCCATGGCATTCACATTCTCAGGATAAACATGCTTTTCACCATATACACTACCTGTGCCTGCTATAAATGAAAAAGTCATCCACCTTGCTAGTATTCACAGCGTAACTTTCTGGACTGGTTCAAATAATGCTTGGAAGAAAATGATATTGTATGCCATCGCTATGACTGATAGCAGAGTGATAGTGCTTATCACTTCTATATAGTTTAACCCTTCAGATTCTTCAGTCTACATGAAGTTTTAGAAAATCTGGTATCAGGAAAAATTTAGTTGCCTAAATATGCTAGTGAGCCTTGCCAGTGAGCCAAGCAATTCACTATGAATGAAAGATTAACATATAAAAGGGGAGAGGAAAGGTCAGATGGGAAAGCTAACAAAGTTTTGGCAAAAAGTAATATATGTAAATAGCTAATTATTTACTTTTGTGCTTACTTTATTTAGATTATGTCTATTGGTTACAATGTTTTTCTAGTTAAGTGAACCTAATTTATTGAATGGGTGCTATCCTGTTTATGTCTGTCATGGTTTCTCTTGGCTACAGAAAATCTCTGTTGCGGGGCAACACTAGTTTGATATTTGATTTAATTAATCTCCAATGAGACTCGATGGCTGGGCCGATGTAGACTCATAGTTATTCTTGTTCTTTATTAAATCCATCATGCTAATTAGATTTCTAGTGATTTGTAACACATAGTTTACACTGAATTACAATGACAGATGCATACAGCTACCATACTAGAAAAAACTGTCATTTCTGCTGTGCCAATAAAAGATTTTTATGAGAAAGCATCACATGTCTCTTTAGAATTTCTTAGTTCTTATCTATTTGGGGTGACAATTCACCTTTGTCAGTCAACATTTTTTCAGCAAAATATAATTGGAATGTCTCCACAAAGCAAAACCAAACCATGGAGTTGGTTCCAAGACATGGAGACCTCATGTGTGTCAGAGCAGACGTGCACTCTAGAGGGTTTTCAATGGCTGTACCTTTCAGAAGCAGATTGTCAGGAGTTTTATTGGAGGTCCCACTGGGTGCATTTGAACTGCCAAACTTTCGGTTAACAGCCAAATGCTTAACTGTGTGTGCCACCCAGGGGCTTCTTTGAAAGCCCCTTGAGCTCTTGAAAGCACACGCTCTTCACTCCATTTCCTTGACAGCACTGTCACTGCCTCCTGGTTTTACTTATCTCCTGAACCTTAACTTCATATGAAATGTCTACTATTTACATGCTTGTTGGGATGTGTTTCCAAGCACTGGAGTATTGTATTAATAAAAGTACTTTGACAAAAGCTAAAACCTTGTCCAGTAAAATCAAATGTCACTGATTTTCCAAACCTTATTCTTTTAATATTTTTTAATAAATAAACAATACAATTGTTTTAAAATAATTACATTATTGGTCATACTTACATTGTCATTATCCTTTCAAAATGAACTGCCTTCATTTTTTTATTGTAAGAAAAATGTTGTTAGGTGCCGTCGGTTCCGACTTCCCAACGACCCTATGGACAACAAAACAGAAGACCACCTCGTCCTGTGCCATCACACAATCAATGTGATGTTTGAACCCCTCATTGCACCCGCTGTGTCAACACATCTTGAAGGTCTTTCTCTTTTTCACTGACCCTCTGCTTTCCCAAAGATAACGTCCTTCTCCAGGGATTGGTCCTTCCTATTAACATATCCACTCACTATGTTTCACTTACATGAAAACACAGTCTTGCCATCCTCACTTCTAAGGAGAATTCTGGCTGTACTTCTTCCAAGACAAATTTGTTTGTTCTTCTTGAAGCCCATAGAATATTTAACATTCTTTACCAACACCATAATTCAAATACATCAAAATTCTTCCTTGGTCTTCCTTATGCCTCGCCCAGCTTTTGCATGTTTCAAGTCTTCCTCACTTTCAGCAAGCAAGGTTGTGTCATCTGCATATTGCAGGTGGTTAATAAGCCTTCCTCCAATCCTGATGCTGATTCATCTTCGTATAGTCCAGATTCTGGGATTATTTGCTCAGCATACAGATTGAATAAGTATGGTGAAGGATACAACTTTGACACACATCTTTCCTGATTTTAAATCACAGAGTATCCCCTTGTTTTATTCAAATGACTACCTCTTGGTCAATGTACAAGTTCTGCATCGGCATAATTGAGTGCTCTAGAATTCCCATGCTTCACAACGTTATCTATAATTTTTTATGATCCACACAGTTGAATACCTTTTCTTTGTTAATAAAACATAGGTAAACATCTTCTGGTGTTCTCTGCTTTCAGCTGTGATCCATCTGACATCAGCAACGATATCCCTTCTTCCACATCTTCTTCCAAATACAGCTTGAATATGTGATAGTTCCCTACTGATGTACTGCTGTAACCATTTTTTTAATTATTTTCAGCAAAATTTTGCTTGCATGTGATATTAATGATATTGTTCAGTAATTTCCATATTGTCACCTTTCTCTGAAATGGGCACAAATATGGATCTCTTTCAGATAGTTGGCCAGATAGCCGTCTTCCAAATTTCTTGGCAAAAATGAGTGAATACACTTCTGGTACAATGGCAGAATAGGCAGACAAGCTACACAGACCCTCTTCGACAAAGAAAAGAGAAACCAATTGACACATATACAGAAGATAATCCTGGAGCACTGAGCCTTGAAAGGAAGGATGCAGAAGTGGATTAAACACCCACTAGTAGAAGAACCTGAATGAAAACAGTGAGTATGGAGACAAACAGAGCTGCAGACTGTCAGCTGTCCTGATGGCACGGACAGTGTCAATATTTGAAATGGTATTAGGACCTGAGAATTAACCTAATAATTGGCCCTGCTCACCAAGGGCTGCACAGACTACTGCTCAGATAGCTGACAAGTGAAAAGGGAAACAGCAAAGAATGAGACAAACTGAGCTGTGGACTCTCGGCTGTCTGGAGGACACAGCCATTTTGAATGTTTACAAGCAGTGTCTGGGCACAGTCATTTTGCATGTTTACAAGTGGTACCATTTTAGATGTTAAAGTGACAACATTGTCTTCAGATTCCAGGGACCTAAGAATAGGCCCCACTTGCCAAAGACAACACAGGCATACAGGAGGCTGACAACTATAAAGGAGATAGGTGGTAAGTGCATAAGTACTGCCAACTAGCGAATAGAGGAGCACAGTACCTGCTTACTAACATACATTAAAACAAAGAAAAAGAAAATCTTGGATGAATCACTCCAACATACAATCACCAATTAAATATAAACATAAAAAAGTCACAATGTCCCAGAGACAACAGACCATCACAGTCCACACAAAGAAGTAAGATAAAGCAGTAGAAACAAGGGACCAGGACACAGACCCAGAAAACATCCCTGAGGAGGAAGCAGCATTGGAACTTCCTGATAAAGAATTCAAAAGAGTTATATTTAGGTATCTTCAGCAGGTTGAGACACAGATTAAGGAAAACACTGACAAAATTAAAGAAAACACAGACAAAACCCTACAACAATTTCAAAAGACAATACAAAAACAAAATGAAAAATTAAAAATGATACAAAATCTACAGATAGAAATCCAGAAAATTAATA